TTACGAGTACACGATCAAGCCGAAATAGGATTATATACATATTTCAAGAATTATTCGAGTGTCGCTAAAGTTTACAAAAATAAGTTATATATTTAGTGTGATTTATTTGGATTCAATCCGATTCGAACTAGAATTCTCGAATAAAGAAGAATCGAAAGATTTTGCTTACGGCTTCTCCGACACAAAAAAAAAGGGGATTTAAATTTTGATGGGGTTTTCGGAAAAACAAATAATGTAGGAATTTAGACTTATAAATAATAAAGATACACCTTTTTGATAAGATTGTTCGGAAAACGACGACATATAAAGTTAAATTAATCGAAAACATCGAAAAAAATGAAACATTTACAAGAAATTATAAACATCAAGAAAATAAAATAGTGAGCATGCACTCACTCAAAGTATCTCCTACAGAAAAAGTTTTTGAAGAAGCCCATGTTGCAAAATCTGTGGTTCGATCCCAACTACCGCCCGGAGCTCCGACCGTATAAGTTGCCGCCATACCCGTTTTTATCGACACCAACATTACGACTAACGCAGCCAAAACCATAATTTTTTTCATTTTTTTTTCTCTAATTATTAGTGACTTTATTTGTTGTTTTTTTCACACAATGTAGGTGTTCTATGTGCAAATTATATACACATATAAGGGGTTCTGTGTATGTCTATATATACACAAGAGTAACCCTCTGAGAAAGGGTTGAACTATTATACATATAAATATATTTATGTATATTCAATTTATTAATTATATTAAACTTATTAATTTTATGAAGATTAAATAAATAATTATTACATGCAAATGAATGACAGGTTGTTTCTGGGAAGCCATTTGCTGATTTGCATTTTCTGGCAAAGTGATTAGGGAGTTGTAGTATTAGTTTTATCCACCGAAACATTAAACATTGACTTGTTATGTGTATACTTGTTTTTAGTTAATTTGACTTAGTATTTGGGGTGATGTTTAGTTGACTTTTTCTGAAATTTCATTAGTATTAGGTATATATATAGTTATAGTATAAGAGTACATGTCAAATCATGGACACCACTAACATTATTATTATTATTATTATTATTATTATTATTATTATTATTATTATTATTATAACATAATATTTTCGGGTCTGATCGGAGAAGTTATTGAGTTTATCAAACATCAAACAAGGTTCAATTATTATGCAACCTCGTGTGCAACTCGAGAAGTTATTGTTAATATTATTAGTATTATTATTATTATATCCAAAATATTGTAGTTGAAGAATCAAAATTTTAATAGAAAGTCCAATTACTTAATTAATCATAACTAATCTTCCCAACAAAACGAGGTCTCAATATACTTTTCTTACCTACGATTTATCGTTAGAATCGCCAGAAACGAAATAATCAATTATTAAAAGTTGATTCAAATCCAATTATTTATTTAGGAAGAACCATTCAAATAAATTACGCGTTTGCTGATATTTCATTATGAAAAAATTCAACAACTCATAGTTGAACAAATTTGTATTGCATTTTAATTTTTATATTTCACAAATATTATTATTTCAAACTTACTTAGCACTTATAACGACTGCTTAACGCATTGGTCATTCAAAGTTTATTGAACTTACCAAACTTTATTTAAAAAATTGGAGAAATGCTGCCAATTTATTTATTAATTCTACACCTAATCAACTTTTTTTAAGCCTCTAAATTTAAAGACATGAATTATTTCCAAATTAGATGCTCAATCTCAAATGAAATAGAAATATATAATTGAACACCTGATCAGATCTAGTCAATGAAATTTTATATATCCATTGGATATTTTTCTTTGTGCAAGTTGATATTAGTTCAATTATAGAGTGCGTGGATCAGAAGCAAATCTACATTCATAGCCCGTTTGGTAAGCCCTTACGTCTGATAAGTATTTTTAAGAGTCGATAAGCTGTTATGTCTTATTTTTTGAATAATAAATTTATAAGCTATTTTTATATTAGATTTTGACTTTGTTAATTGAGAATCATATCTGTGGATACTGGTGTTTTACACTAGGCCAAAATGCAAGACTGGCGACGTTTTTTTTCGCGACGCTTTTGCGTTCGTCGCCTCTTTGCGACGTTTCTGAGCTACAATCGTCGCTGAAAGTGGAAAACCCAGGTTTAGTTCAAAACCCTCGCGACGATTTTCTGAAATAGTCGCTACTTCGCGACGCAAGATCTATAAACGTCGCACGTATGAAAAAAAATTAAAAAATAATTTTTTTGGCGACGAAAACTACCTTTCGTCGCAAGATTTACATATATTGGAATTTTATATTTGAAATCTCGCGACGAAACGGTAATTACCGGTCTGCCTGTCTCCAATAATTAACTCTCGCTGGCCACGTTCTGTAGGGATCATGGAATCAATAGTAATAAGCCCGATTTGAAGGGGCTCGTATACGAAACGCCGAGAAATAATACCTGGAGCGGGAGATTCAATTAATCGAGATTCAGAAACTGGAATTCACCTCTACCATCAATAGGTTTAGCTAGGGCGTTTATAACACGACACAAATAAGCCCCACTCGTTGGTATCTGAGTACTTGCAAGTATTTTTTTTTTTTTAAAGATTTTCTAAGTTTTCCAACAACTTATTTTTATTAAAAAAAATAAAAATAAAATTGGAAAATCACCAAATACTTTTGAAGAGCTTATAAGTTCTTAAATATTTTATAAGTTAAAAGTTGTTTTTACAACTTATAAACTTAGCCAAACACTTTCTCAATATACTTACTGGTTTTCTTTCTTTTTCTTTTTTTTTTGAGTAAATTCAAGTCCATTACAAGGGAAAGTAGGGGAGGGGGACTCGTTACCCTATTAATAAAGACTAGTTACCAACTCTCCTAATGAGGGTGGGTTAATATAGTCATTGGTTTGAAAATGTGATGAATCGTTAGCCTATGGCTTTCAAGTGATAAAGTATGCCGATTTTCAATAATTGATCTAATTGTAACAATTGTTAATACAAATTAATTGATCTAATATCGCAGTTGTTAAGGTAAATTACTTTTTTAGCCTCGCTTGAATTAGACAAGCACTTTCATAGCTTGTTGTATTTCTAAGTACCATAATTATTTTTTAAGTTGCACCAAAAAGGCGAAATCCCTCGCCCCCCAGGGCCCCCATCCCTTGGCCCGACAAGGATTGATGGAGGAATGTAAATCATGGTAACTCAACGGCCCGTTAAGGTAGCGGACCCGGACATAATTATTTTTTAAGTGCACGAACAAGTAAGTGTTAAGGATAAAAAATAAAGCTAAAATAAATAGAAATTGATTTAGTTCAATATAAAAGGCCTATAATTTTCTCAAAAAAAAAAAAACAATAGTAATAATAATAATGATAAAAGGCCTAAATCTCATATTTGTACATATTTCCTCAAAAAATTTCTATATATAATGTTGCATTCAGTGGGTAAGCTAGTGTAGGGCTACGAGTGATCATTATAACCGAGTATTGTGTGTATTATAATGCTACTACTATACACAATTAATTCATTATATGACTATATGAAAACTAATTATCCAAATTAATGCATTTGCATATGGAAATATCAAGAATGGAAGGGGCAAGTAAAATTGGAAATTAGTAAACTGTGAAATATTTGAACAATTATTTCTATGTTACACACGGTGAAGACTACACCAGGTAATTTTCTACCGTTGATCTACACACACCAATGTAGGTGTGTGTGTTTGCGTTCTTATGAATAGTAAAAATTTACCCGATGTATTTCACCCAGAGTAACATAATATAAATCTGAACATAGAAATCAGTAAACTTTGAAAATTGAAAGTAGCTCTAATGTCAGCCGTTTGATTCTTATCCACTTAGGATTTCAAGACAAACATGTTTTAATCAACGAGAATGAAATATATAAACATAAAAACGAAAGCGTACATTATTTCGTGAAATTAAATCCTTGAAAGTAACAAGTGATTTTTGTTTTTTTAGGACAAAGGACATGTGACTCTACATACCAAAGCCAATAAGTCAAAATCATGACCATTTTGAGTAGTTCTCCCTCTTTAGGCTTTTTCTTCAAAAAAGGGAAGAAAAAAAAAATCGCGAAAAATAAAAGAAAAAAAAAAACAGAAACAAATTGAGTGATTATAATTTGCCACGCCACGATAAAAAGATAATAATACCACCACATGATTGGCTTGAATTATTTTCAAAGACCCCACGTGTGCAATTTCTAGAAACCTCATTTTCAAAACGTGTTGAAAATACACATGTTGCTGACTAGGACGAAAATGACCTTTGGTACTTTGAGGTGACAAGAAAAAGGGGGTGCATGCATTAGAACTTACACGGTAATTAGTACACGATTATTTCTATGCTATATTTCGGTGAAAACCATATCGGTTATTTTTTTACCGTTGATCTAAATAATAGGGGACTCTGATTATCTTTTCTCAACCGACCGTTCTAGATGTCCACCTAGAGGTGGAAATCGAAATGAAAATTTTGAATTCAGCCAATTTCGAACCTAAAATATCCGAAATTAGAATAGTTTTGTTTTTTCATACAGATTTTCAAACCATTTTTTTGGAACGAAATTAGAAATGTGTGTAAAATTATCGAAAATTTCAATTTTCGATCCAATTTTGAATATTCCAATGTTTTCCGAAATATATAATATTTTATTATTATATATACATGTTATAATATAATTTTACAATACCATTTAACCAAAAATGAAGTAAAATACCATTTAACCTATTTTTGTGTCGGAAAAATAGTGTTTTCGGTCTTCCATGATTTTTCTTACAAAAATTAAACTAATTAAATTATAAAATAATACTATTTCGTCATTTCACCAAGTTTAGATGGAGTTTGGTTTGGTATCTGATGGTACGTATTTCATCAAATATGAAACTAAATTATAATTTTATGTTCAATTTTGGTTCCCATTTTCCAACATTTAGTAGTTAATGGAATATGGCCTAAAAAAATTACACTTTTGACCTCTCATATTTACGACTGAAACACTTTTGGTCCCTTTTGTTCTGAAAAGAAATTTTGTTAGTCCTTCGATAGTTTTGCCTTAATTTTATAAAATATCTTTTTAACTAACCTGAATAAAAAATTAATGTGTCTTCAAAGAAGATCACTACGAGCAACAACGAAACTAATATAGATGATGAAGTTGAAGATCATATTTCAAAATTACACGTAAAGTTCTTACAATACTAAGAAAAGTTAGGGATGATAGTCAAAGGTGATATCAACTTTAATAAGAAAAACAAAAATCATAGAATAGTATTTTGTTAAGTTTTTGATCATATATTAATCATAATTGTACTATGCGTTACAAAACTATAACTTGATAATTACAAAATTATTAATTTTATATATTAAATGGGATGTATTAGAATTTTTATATATATATATATTTCTTATGATTTTTGCGAATTATTTGTGACCGAGTTGGGAACAACAAAAGTTATTATTTAAACGAGGATATTAATTAGTCGAAGTTCTATTATAATATACATGTATAAAGTAAAATAAAGGGTACATTACACCTACACCCTAAGATATACTAAAATAACTTTAATATCCCTATGATATTGATAATTACAGCCACACCATTGAAACAATTACCAGAGCGAAGATTTCATGTCCTAGGGATCGATATGCACTATATATGTTTTGCGCATGGCCGTTAATGCTACATATTGTCTATATTGTCTCCACCACTGCCTGAATCTAATGGTCCGTTAGAACCCTAACGGAATAACTTGTCCAATGTATTATTCCGTTAGAGTTCCTAACAATGTTTTAGGGGTTAATTGTAATTACCAGTACTATAGGAACCTTAAAGTTATTTTAGCATATCTCAGGGGTGTAGGTGTAATTTACCATAAAATAAAATAAGCAACAACAACAGCCGATAATACTATAAAAGCACCTCACTAATTCAAGATGTTATATATATCATCACAAATTTCATTACACAAAAACAAAAAAAAACAAAAAAAAAAAAAAAGAAAAAGGAAAAAAAGAAGAAGAAATGCAAACTCAGACATCTTCTCCTCTTGTCTTGGCTCAGACAAAATCTCCATTAACCCACAGCATTCCCATGGCTAACTACGTCCCACTCTTCGTCATGCTTCCGGTAAGTCCTCCGAACACGCCGCAACATTTTTATCGAAAAAAAAAAAAAACGAAAAATCGTGAAATAATTCTTCCTTTTGTGCATGTGTGTTTGATCTATGTTATACAAATGTAGCTTGGAGTGGTTACGAGGGAAAACGAGTTCCCAAACGAAGCTAAGTTCGAACAACAACTCAACGAACTCAAAAAATCCGGTGTCGACGGCGTAATGGTGGACGTGTGGTGGGGTATAATAGAGGCCAAAGCCCCGAAGCAATACGACTGGTCTTCTTACGTAAAACTATTTCAACTTGTCCGAAAATGCCGTCTCAGAATTCAGGCAATCATGTCTTTCCATCAATGCGGTGGCAATGTCGGTGACGCTGTTTACATTCCTATTCCGGAATGGGTTCTTTCCGTCGGAGAAGAAGATTCCGATGTCTTCTACACTAATAAGTCGGGGAATAGAAATCCGGAATACCTTTCACTTGGAGTTGATAACCTCCCTCTCTTTCAGGGTCGAACCGCCGTTGAGGTATATGTATTACTTAGGGGTGGTGTGCTGAGATTTCGATCTGAATATTTTCGATTTTGGAACAATTTTTTTTTCATTCTGAATTCCGGAAGTTTTGATTTTTTCGATCGTAATTTTTGGAAATATTCCAAGCACATTCCGATTTATAACATAAATTTACACATACAATATTAATATTATTATGTATTTTATATTATAGGTGACTGAAAAAATGAAAATTCTGAATTCTGCCGATTCCGGTATGAAAATTTCCAGTTTTGGAACAATTTATTCGTTTCAAATTTTCAAAATTCCGATTTTTTTTTTTTGTTTGGAATTAGAATTAGTTGTTGGTATTATTCTCGATCCGATTCGTATGATTTGCCCTGCTTGCTACGGAATTGTTTGGTTCAAAAACTGTCGTATAAAAGGAGATTCTTGATAACAGTTATAATAAATAAATAAAATGATTGTGTGTAGATGTACAGCGACTTCATGAAGAGCTTCAAAGAGAACATGTCGGATTTTTTGGAAAACGGAACGATTATCGACATCGAAGTAGGGCTCGGTCCAGCTGGCGAACTCAGATACCCATCATATCCAGAGACTCAAGGCTGGGTATTTCCGGGCGTTGGAGAATTTCAAGTGAGACTCGAATTTCAGTTCAAACACCTATAAAAATAAAATAAAATCAACGAAATCTATAACAAATAATAAACATTTATTTGATTGCGTAAATAGTGCTATGACAAGTACTTGAAACAAGATTTCAAAGCGGCCGCAGCAAAGGCAGGGCACCCGGAATGGGATTTGCCAGACGATGCAGGAACGTACAACGACAACCCCGAAAAAACGGGCTTCTTCGGGCCAAACGGGACCTACCAGACAGAAAAGGGAATATTCTTCTTGAAATGGTACTCAAATAAGCTAATTGAACATGGTGATCAAATTCTTGATCAAGCCAATAAAGTTTTCCATGGATGCAGAGTCAGAATTGCTGCCAAGGTGAGTCTTGAAATTGTTATTTTTATTTTTTTTATTTTTTATTTTTTATTGCATACTAATGTATGGGATAATATTATGTTTCTAATTAATTGCATGCATGAAAATCGAAAACAGGTGTCTGGAATTCACTGGTGGTACACTGACGATAGCCACGCGTGTGAGTTAACGTCGGGTTACTATAACATGAAAGACAGAGACGGGTACCGTCCGATCGCAAGAATGATATCGAGACATTATGGTACTTTGAACTTCACTTGTCTGGAAATGAGAAATTCGGAGCAATCGGCTGACGCTAAGTCTGCTCCTGAACAACTTGTTCAACAGGTTCAAGATTTAATAACACATTCCATTACGTATTTATACGTACTCGTAACATGCTTTTGAAATCCTAATTTGTTATATGTATTTGAAATTAGGTCCAAATTCAGGAATACGATTTTCTAACAAAGAAATAAAATTTAATTATTGTGTGCAGGTTTTAAGTGGGGGGTGGACAGGGAAAATCGACGTAGCTGGTGAGAATGCTCTATCAAGGTACGATCGAGAGGGATACAATCAAATCCTTTTGAACGTTCGGCCAAACGGGGTCAACAAAAACGGGCCCCCAAAACTTAAGATGGCTGGAGTTACATACCTTCGCCAGTCAGACGAGCTTTTTGAAGCCAACAACTTCGAGATTTGTTTCTCATTTTGCTATATCTAAATAAATAAATTTCTCAATTTGGCTATGCCTCTTCCTTTACTTCGACATACCGATCAATGTTAAATAAAATTCAACTTTTTTCCATATAAATTTCATTCAAGAACCCCGAAACTTCAATCGATTTCAGTCACCAACCAACGTGCTTCACTAAAATTAATTACTTTCGACATTTTAAACTGCATGCATACCTGCTTCATGCTTCGTTTGATTGATGTCAAACTTTTTCAGACATTCACCAATAATCTCCACACGAGCAAATCCCATCCTTAAAGTGATGAAACCGGTTCGCATCTCTTACAACAATCTCCCTGTCGACAAACTTCGATATTAATTTGGTTGCCAAATGGCAGTTCACACATGCTCGTAAATTCTTCGTAATCCTAAGTGTAGTTCCACGAGATGTACTAATAAGCCCGTACGCAATCGCCACTCTCTCACTATGATTGCACAAAGTCATCTCTTTTTCTTCTTTGTCCAAATCATGCAAAGCAGATTCCGTATCCGGAATAAATCCGCACTCCAATAACATAATCTCCAACCACTTGAGCTTCTTATATATCTCGTCCGATCTCGGGTGACACCTGTCGCCCATTCGAAAAGCCTCCATCTTCCCATTAATCTCGATCATACTATATCCAAAATCTTTGTTCAAACCCTTCGATTTCATAAGTACTCTGACTTTTGCCACACCATCCCACATTCTTGATGAAGCGTAAATATTGGAGAGTTGAACGTAATATCCTATATTTAAAGGGTCTAAATTGAAAAGTTTCTCCGCAGCATATTCCCCGAGCTGTACACAGCGATGTTTCTTACATGCACTCAATAGAGCTCCCCAAACCGAGCCACCTGGCTCAACGGGCATCGTATTTACGAAATTGTACGCCTTTTCTAAATAACCAGCTCGCCCCAACAAGTCGACTACACCTGCATAATGTTTCTGGTGAGGCTCTATACCATAGTCTTGCATGCAGAGGAAAATTTCCCATCCTTCTTCTACGAGACCAGAATGACTGCAAGCTGTAATAAGGCCGAGGAAAGTGACATCATTTGGGCGGGTCCCGTAATTCTTCATTTCTTTAAAGAGATGAATTGCTTCTCTTCCTCGTCCATGTAGGCCATAACCCATTATCATCGCACTCCATATTACTACATCTTTGTCTTCAATTCGGTTAAAAATTTCACGGGCCGAGTCTAGGCTTCCACATTTTGCATACATGTCGATTAAGGCTGTCTGAACAATTACGTTGTGTCTGAAAGTACTATTATTGACAAAATCTTCAATCCATTTCGCTTGATCGAGCAACCCCAGTTGAGCAGAAGCCAAGACGGAGGATTGTACAGTCACGGCATCGGGCTCAATGTTTCTTGATATCATCTCGAAGAAAAGCTCCAACGCTTCAGTAGCGTGTCCGTTTTTAGCAAAACCCGAAATCATGGAATTCCAGAGAATTACATCTCCGACCTCCGTTCCATCGAACAGAGATTTTGCAGCTGTCACATGCCCACATTTTGCGTATAGAGATGTAAGTGAAATTCGCAAATCGAGCTCGAACTCGTGTCCTGTTTTAATGACCAAACCGTGGAGACATCTTCCTTGATTCAAATCCTCCATATCCGAATACGCCTTAATAACACTAACCAAAGCTATCCAATCGGGCTTCACATGCAATCTTCTCATGTCTCGAAAAATCCTCGATGCTTCCATAGGCTGCCCATTCTGAGCATAAGCAGAGATCATCAAAGTCCACGAAACAACATCCTTACTACGCAACCCATCGAAAATAATACGAGCGCAATTATTTTCCTCGCACGTTATATAAAATGACAAGAGCCCATTTTGCAAAAACACATCTTTTTCAAACCCGTGTCTGAAAATTTGCGCATGAACCACCCGACCATATCCGATATTCTGTAAGCCGCCACATGCTTTAAGTACATGAGGAAACGTAAAAGCATCGGGACTAACGGAAGCCCGGTGCATTGTGGAGTACACTTGGATAACTTTATCCAGCATGTTATGCATGGAATACCCCCTGATAATCGCATTCCATAAGTGAACATACTTGTCGGGAAATTCGTCGAACACATGGCGTGCGTAGTCGATTTCTCTGAGATTTGAACTTGTATTGATGAACTTGGTTATTATGAAACCGTTCTCGTGGAGGCCGTGTATGTATAACTGGTTGTGGATTTGATTGAGATGGGCTGTGTGTGCAGATTTTTCGAGAAGGGAAGTGAAGAAAGACTCGTCGTCGGTTGAGCTGTGGCTGCAGCAATGAATTCCGCGACGGAATTTGAAATAGAGGTCGAAAATCTTGATCCTAGATTTGATTGTACGTCGCTGTACAATAGTAAATGACATAAAGATTCTGAATTTATGTGAGTAATGTGGTGGCTTTATCAGAAATCACTATTGAAAAATGAATTCTTTTCTTTTTTAACAGTTAAGGAATGAGCAATGGATAAAATTGTTTTTTTTTTTTTTTTCTCTCTCTATTTTTTTAAATAATATTGGCTTCAACATATGGAACCGTTTTTTCAGCTCGGCTCAGAAATCCACTTTGACGGCAGCACCAAATCAGTATAATGCACAAAGCTCAAATAGAAGCCCTAGATCTACCCTCCGGTTATAACTGAGTTGACTCACAAGTACTCAACTAGCGAACTAAGAATCAACTCACTGAAATTGTCGAAACACTCGCGTAGTTCTTCTTTTCTCACTAAGTTTCCCTCACTCACACTCCATCATCGAAGAAAAAGGAGAAAAAGGAAGAAGAATGAACAATGTCTCACATCTCTCTATCATAGTTTGCTGCTTTACGAAGCAACGGTCAAAGACAGCAAAACTAGCTTCAAATTAATGTTCTCCATGTACGACGACGAATGTTGAAGAAAGTCGCCAGAAAACGACATGGAAGAAACAAAAGAAGTACAACACAAGAAGAGAAAGAGTAGAAAAAGAAACGGTGAATCAAAAAATAGAGGTAGGATTTTCAAATCTTAGCTTATAAAGTATGAGATAAACGGCCAATATCAGACCGTCTAAATTAAACGATCAACATCAGTCAAACCACTTAAATCGAGCTTAAGTTAGCTAATATGCCCATCCGAGGATTGGGCTCCTCGATTCTTGTGTTTAAGGGCCCTATTCACACATTAGAAAAAATATATTTGGCCACAAACACTAACATAAAGATTTAGATTTTTTTTTTTTTTTTTTTTTTATGATATGTTTAGAATATCACATTCCTCCACAAGGGGAGAAGAACCATTATACCACTTAAAGTTATACAGTAGAATATTGTTAATTTAAGCAACTTGAATGGAAATATCAAATTTCTTAACCATAATTTTGACGCTAATATTTGATAACTAGTTTTCATATTTTTGCATTGGAGTTGCTCTACTACTCGATTAATCAACAATAACTACCTCTTGCCAATTGATTATGAGTAGCTTTATCAAGATTTGAAGCAAATTGTGCAAAAGCTTAATCTCTTTTAAATAATATTTGGTCAATCCTTAATTTTACTTTGGTTATCCTAGTTGATGTTGAGTCCATCTATTCAGGAGATGAACCATGATCAAAATGTAGGGGCCTAACTAAAATTTTGGAGTTCGGGCAGCGCCCTGTAAAACAATTTTGGTTCACAAAACATTGCAAAAAAATAAGTTTATATTACTATTTTTTTATTAAAATATCATATATATTATAATTATATCATATTTTAATCATCACAGAAAATTCTAAATTATTCTAATAATGTATTGCACTTAATATTTCAGGGATTCATGGCACGATCTCAAAGCATTGATAAAAAAAATTCAAAAATAAGTAATATTTATAAATTTTATTTAAAATAATACAAGTTTTAAGCATCTTATTTTATATTTTACATTAAATATGATATATTTATCTATAATTTATATAAGATTATGGAGAAGAAACAAAAAGAGTAATGGGTTAAAACACATATTTACAAAAATTTTGTGGGGGGTCAAAAGTAATATTCAAAAAATACAATACCAAATACTTATAATAAATAAATAAAATTATTGGGGCTCATCAGCCCCTGCCCCTTGCAAGTACCGCCCCCTGCATCTAGTCATGTATTGTTCATGTCTAGAAGGGCAAAAGTGTCATTTCTGTTGAGCTTTAATTAAGTTAAATGATTTTAAGCAAATAAAAATAAGCTCATTACTTAAACTTAATTAAAAGTATTTTAGGGACATTAACAATATTCATTGTTCTGACTTCTGATTAATATTTTCTTTTTTTTTTTAATAACGTAGGAACCTGCAGTTAATCATATAGGTGCATTTGGGTAAACTTACACTCTCGTATAATAGCACACTATGCTAACTATGTGTGACAAGCTCGATCTACTGACCGTTGACAAGAAAATTCGAACCTGAGTTTGTTCTAACCGCTAGGTCATCGTTGGAAAAGAATTGGTGACCACCATCCATCTCATCCCACCATTAGTCTATAGTCTTTTATTTCCAATAATAACCAAAAAAAATGCCATTTTCGTGTTTCAATTCAATTCAATAAAAACACAAGTGGGAAAACCAACTCAGATATTTTTCATCATCTTCTTCTTGCAACTATATATACAAACCAACCCTCATCATCATATATATATATATATATATATATATATATATATATATATATATATATATATATATATATATATATATATATATATATATCCCTTTAATTATTAGTACATATACATATATGCATATATATATCATGTCTAGTATTAGTAGTACTATCGTTGTGTCGAAACAAGTCGTCGGAGTTGTAAATCATCCTCAGCATTCAGACAAGAGATCAAACGGACAACAATGGCAGCTCAAAAACAACCTCAAACGACGACCGCTATTATTCACTTCCAACAAACGAGCAATCGTCAAAATCCGGCCTCTTCAGGCTATTGTCACCACAGCAGAGGTAACTAATTAGTAATTCAACTCATTTTATTTACTCTTTATATAATTAACAATAATTGTTTTATCAAAATTTTCGATCCTTGTTAATATTATTAAATTAGTCATTCTGAATTATCCATGTTTTAAATTTTATAACCACCAATGGATCGATTGGAAAATGTGGTCATGGATAGTATTTTCTGAAACCGACGATTTTGGTCCAAGGACGAAGCAAAATGTGGCTGTGTAAACTTTGATGCGTACGATAAATATCGACAAATTTATTTATTTATTTATTTATTAAAAATTGTATGTATTCACATGCATGCCAGAAATTTGTGTTACATGACAAACATCCTAGTCATTGTCATGGGCCAAGAAACTCCAACATATTTCAACATTTCCCTGTCATAATTTTTTTTACCATAAACAAATTAATTTTATTGTTATTTTTATACATATATTTTTTTTTAAATCAGAATCCAAAACCAACATTCCGAAATGATTTTAAATATTCCAAAATGGTTAATTTCGATCAGTTCCATCCGATTTCCAGCCCCAGGTCGAATTATTTGCTTTCACAATCCCTCACTATATATGCACTTATTACAAAATTAAAAATAAATTAACCAAGACATCGCTTCTCATCTTGTCTTTGTTCAGACAATTTCTCCGTTAATCCGCAACAGTGCCATGGCTAACTACGTTCCCCTCTTCGTCATGCTTCCGGCAAGTCTTAACACAAGGCAACATTATTATTTATTTATTTTCAATTCTTTACCCGAAAAAGAACTAAAATTAAATTCTTCTTGTGTGTGTGTGTTTTTCCATGTTAAACAATATGTATAGCTTGGAGTGGTTACTAGAGAAAACAAGTTCCCGGACGAAGCCAAGTTCGAAAAGCAACTCAACGAACTAAAACGAGCGGGAGTAGACGGAGTAATGGTGGACGTGTGGTGGGGTATAACAGAGGCCCATGCCCCGAAGCAATATGATTGGTCTTCTTACGTAAAACTATTTCATCTTGTCCGAAAATGCGGTCTCAGAATTCAGGCAATTATGTCTTTCCACCAATGCGGTGGCAATATCGGTGACGGTGTTTACATTCCGGTCCCACAATGGGTTCTTTCCATCGGAGAAAAAGATGCTGACGTGTTCTACACTAACAAATCGGGGAATAGAAATCAAGAGTACTTATCTCTTGGTGTCGATAACCTCCCTCTCTTTCAGGGTCGAACCGCTGTTGAGGTATATGTATATTTACTTATTTAATACGAGTTTTTTTTTTATTTTTTGTTTTTTTTTTTCCTTTTTTCCTAGATGGTTCTAAAAAAAATCGGGGGCGATGATAATAGAATACTTTGAGATATAACAAATATCTATATAAAATAGGGATATGCATGGTTAGGGTGAAGTGGGGTGCATTGAGTTTCTTCTTTCTGCCTATACTGGCTCCGCCACTAGTGTACTGCCCTGTCAACTACAATCTTTTATAATGTGTGTGTAAAATGTGTGCGAGATGCAAATTAGTGGTTAACTAGCATATCTATGGATGGAAATCGGACGCATCTGATCGGAATTAGCACTTACAGAAAATTTCAAAAAAACTTTCAGAAGTTGATAATTAGATTCTATTTTGTTACAAAAAAAAATTGAAAATCGACATGTCAGTAATTGGAATGAAAAACTTGTTCCAAAATTGAAAATTCTTTTATTGGAATTGATGGAATTCGAAAATTCCATTTTTTTAGTAGCCTATAGTACAAAACACATAAGAATATTGATAGTACAAGTGTACTTTTTGGAAAATAATAGGAATTTTTGAAAATATTTCTAGAAATTAAAACCGGATTGAAAATCGGAATCTTAACTCTATTAAAAAACAAAGGAAATTTTGGAATCGGGACTTTCGAAATTCAGAATGAAAGATATTCTTCCAAAATAAGAAAAATTCTGATCGGAATCGACGGAATTCAGAATTTTCATTTTAATTTCCATCCCTAACCATAACTATTTCAAGAAATGGTTGATTTATTGTTTGACTCTAGTGTGTGTGTGTGTGTGTGTGTGTGTGTGTGTGTGTGTGTGTGTGTGTGTGTGTGCGCGCGCGTGTGTTGTGTGTGTGTGTGTGTGTATACATTCTAATTTAATTGTGATTTTGATTCAAATTAATGATTGTGTGCAGATGTACCGCGACTACATGATTAGCTTCAAAGAGAACATGTCGGATTTTTTGGAAGACGAAACGATTATCGATGTCGAAGTCGGGCTAGGGCCCGCTGGAGAACTAAGATACCCATCATATCCAGAGACTCAAGGATGGGTATTTCCAGGCATTGGAGAATTTCAAGTGAGTATACTCAAATTTTCCATTTTCAACCAAATAATTAAAGTAAAATTACTAAATAACATGAAATCCACAACAAACAAACCATTTAACATTTATTTGCATATATAGTGCTATGACAAGTACTTGAAACAAGATTTCAAAGAAGCCGCAGCAAATGCAGGGCACCCGGAATGGGATTTGCCGGACAATGCAGGAACGTACAACGACACCCCCGAAAAAACGGGCTTCTTCAAGCCAAACGGGACCTACAAGACGGAAAAGGGAATATTCTTCTTGAAATGGTACTCAAATAAGCTAATCGAACATGGTGATCAAATTCTCGACGAAGCCAACAAAATTTTCCAAGGGTACAAAATCAGGATAGCTGCCAAAGTGAGTTTCAATTTTATTTTCTAATCCATATAGCAAATCTATCTTATCACAAGGGATAGATAGTATTATATTATCTTGTCTGAATTCTTGCATCCGTACATGCAATGAAAACAGGTGTCAGGAATTCACTGGTGGTACAATGACGACAGCCACGCCTGTGAGCTAACATCGGGTTACTATAACATGAAAGACAGAGACGGGTACCGTCCGATCGCAAGAATGATATCGAGACACTATGGTACTTTGAACTTCACTTGTATGGAAATGAGAAATTTCGAGCAATCGGCCGAGGCTAAGTGTGCTCCTCAACAACTTGTTCAACAGGTTCGAAAATACGTATTTTATATATATGTACTCATCAAAACATGCTTTTTTTTCAATCCCGTGATAGATAGGCCTAAAATCAGACATAACCTAAGGCTCCGTTTGGATTGAAGGAATTGAAAATCACATTAAAGAATGAATTATATCGAACTGAACAAAAAGTTCACGTGTTCAAAAAAAAAAAACACGATATAGCAAAAAAACCCCAATGTGATAAAAAGTCGAGGACGAAAAAATCCTATAGAGTTGATCGTGGATTCTACTATTTTAGGGTAAAATGACATAAATACCCCGTTTATTAATTTGTTACTATTTCGTATTAATTGTAAATAATCCGACTTTTTTAGGACCAAATTACAATTTACTAATCATGTGGTGCAGGTTCTGAGTGGGGGGTGGACGGAAAAAATCGACGTAGCTGGTGAGAATGCTCTACCAAGATACGATCGAGCGGGATACAATCAAATCCTTTTGAATGTTCGGCCAAATGGGGTCAACAAAAACGGGCCCCCAAAACTTAAAATGGCCGGAGTCACGTACCTTCGCCTAACCGACGAGCTTTTCGAGCCCCAAAACTTCAAGATATTTAAGCTATTTGTCAAGAAAATGCATGCTGATCAGGTAAAATTAATTTTTTTCAAGAAAACAAGACTTCATATATAATTTTGCAATGCTGATTGAAAAAAATACTCTGCAGGAGTATTGTCGTGAAATGACCGATTTACCCCCGTTGAAGAGATCGAAACCGAAGATTCCGATCGAGAAACTACTGGAAGCAACGGAAACTATAGAGACATTCCCATGGGAGAGTGAAACGGATATGAGTGTTGGGGGTATTTTAGCTGATTATTTGGACAACTTGTTCAACAAGTTGTTTTCGATCCTAAACTAAAGACGTATTTATTACATGCATTCTATGTTGTCTGTGTACATACTATGTACATGCAGTTAGCCCTGATTTTATCTATTTTTTTCATGGGGTCAGAAATTGGGTTGAAATTGAATTGGAATTTCCAAATTGGCAAATTCCGCTAATTTAATCTAGTTATAAAATTCCCATTTTCAATCACATTTTAATTTCTAAAAGAATCGATATTTTTCGAGAACTACAATTGTAAAATCAATAATATATTTGATAATGTATGTGAAAAGAAAAATAAAATTTTGAAATTCCGCCAATTATGATTCGAAAAATTTCAATTTTGAAAAAAGAAAAGTTCATTTTTGTAGAGTATGTGGCCCAAATGAATTCTTTGTGAATGGCCCATTAAAATCCCACCTTGCAACCCACTTACGAGCAGCCCACAAAATTTGAGCCCAAAATTAAAAGTCAGCCCAATCTCACTAGGTTTTCCCTTTCTCTCTCTCTTCACCTCTTTTTTCTTATATCGGTGTTTTGTTTTTCCCAGCAGATTTGTTTTCTAATCTGCTCCTTTTTTCTCTCAACAAATCTTGGTGATTTGTTACCTAATTCTTAGTGAGTTTGGTAGATGATTTGGGTGTATAAGTGCACCCTTTTCTTTTTTTGTGTGAGACGTGAGAGACGGAAAAAAGGCGTGAAAAAATAGAGTCGAGAAAAATACTTTGTGTATTTGAGAGGGAAAAATAGAGTGAAAAGAGAGAAACCTTTTTTGAGAAGCAAAGCTCGATTCTTTCAATGAATTCGAGCTTACTTCTTTAGGGATAAACTGGTGAGATTAGGGTGTGAATTTGGGTTTCGTTTTTCTTCGTTTTGTTCGTTGGAATACACTGTGTGTGTACGTGTGTGTGGCTGCCGTGAGTGTTGGAGGCCCCACTTGGATCTTGGACGAGGACTCGGAGATTGAGGACTGAGCCGGATAATCGACGACCGCCGGAGCAGCCGTCGGAGGAACTTTCGTTTGCAATTCTGTGTGAATTGCTCGGTTTTGTCTCTTACCCTTATTTATTTTTCTGCATTAATTAAATCACGTTTTATTCTAGGTTAATTGAGCATTAATATTTTATTCTTAAAATATTATGATCTGATTGTTGGTTTTGCTGATTGTTGAGTGATGCTGTCGTCGTTTGTTGCTGATTAATGCCATTATAAATTGTTGTTATTAATTTAATTATTTATTGATTCTGTTGATTAAATATATTATATTATATTTTAATTGTTTCTAATAAAATATGAGTATTTTGATTTTGTGTGGTTTGTCTTCTCCGGGCGGATACCCAACAGTGGTATCAGAGCGTTGTTAAGGGTCCGTCCGGAGCGGCGTACGAAACCCTGGTCCAGGGGTTTCGCTCAGGTATAAATTTCTACTCTTGGTGAGTTGATTGATTCTTTGTGATAATTATACCTGTTATTGGTGAATCTTGGTGATTCTTTGTTTATTGCTTCCGCTAATATTTTGTGTGAATCTGTGTGATTCTTTATCTTTGTGATACTTGAAAAATTGGAATCTTTGTGATCCGTTTTTGCTCTGAAATTGTGAATCTTTGTGATTCTATAATTGTGTGATTTTTTGAAAAAAAAAAATTGTGAATCTTTGTGATTCGATTTTGCTAAAGTTTATTGAATCTTTGTGATTCTCTTGTGTGTTGATCCTGCTGGTATTTAATCTTGGTGATTTTGCTATCTTTGTGATACTTGAATATGGGATCTATGTCTATGTTATCTTTAGCTCCTTTCGATGGAAAGGGTGATTTTTCTATTTGGCAACAAAAAATGAAAGGTATTTTAATTCATCAAAAATGCTTTAAAGCGATTTCTCTAAGTGAGGAAGTTTTTATAACTGTTGCTAAACGTGAAGAACTTGATGATCTTGCTTATTCTGCTATTATCTTGAATCTAAGTGACTCTGTGATTAGAAAAGTAGGAAAGCATGATTCTGCTAGAAGTTTATGGGATAAATTGGAAGAGCTTTATGTTGAAAATTCTTTGCCCAATAAAATGTTTTTGCTTGAAAAGTTTTTTGGATTTAAATTGGACTCTCGCAAAAATATTGATGCTAATATTGATGATTTTACCAAGTTAGTTCAAGATATTAAATTAACTGGTGATAAGAATATTGATGATTATACCCCTATTGTGCTCTTGAATGCTATTCCTGATGTTTATAATAATGTTAAGTCTGCTATTAAGTATGGTAGAGATAAAATTACGTTAGATACTGTGATCAATGCTTTAAAAAGCAAAGAGCTTGAATTGGGAATTAATAGGGATAAATCATTTAGTGAAGTTAATTTTGCTAAAGGAAGTCAGTCTAATCGTTTTCAAAACAATAAGGCTTCTTCTAGTCCAATTGATCAAAATACG